ATTGAATTATTCGACACATATTAGAAACACTATATCTAATATTGGATATACAGATAGTATTCTAAGTAATTTTGTACGTAAAATAATTTTTTGTCTTCTACTACAATCAATTTTTAATATATAATTTAATAACTTTTTTCATTCTCGGATAAGGCGTGGCGCCCCTTTGATGAGCTCGCGGTGCCTTTAGGGTGCACAGGTTGGGAATCGCTGATTTAGAGTCCATTTAGAGTAGTGTGACACAGTGGCACCAAACCTTATGTTAATGTCGGGCCATGGCCTGACATATTTTGAAAATTTAGGATAGGGCTGCTTTATATTGACCATTTTCCTCTCCACGGTATGCAATTTTTGCTGATATTAAGACGTTGGGCCTCTTGAAATATTTTTCGTCCTACTTGATTTTTAGTTTTCCTGTGTAGCTGGTCATCATCTTAAAATGGCAAAAGTATAAGCAAACATATTGATTTATGTTTATATTTTAGTGTACAAATTAATGATTTATCTCCAACATCATACATGAAACATTTGGATGAAATTATAAATAAAAATGGCCAATTTATTTTATGTGTGATCAAATCTCTGAATAGTGATCTTTCCAATAAAATAAATAAAAAGTTATGTTTAGGAGTATCAGGTAAATAAATAAAATGTATTATTTGCCCATCGAAATTAATTATTTTAGTTGTTTATTTTTATATGTATATTTTTAATAACTTCAATCCTTATAATTTACTGATAAACTGATTCAAACTATTTAAACTTTTATTTTTATATATAACACAAATATCAATAATTTTTTCAAATACCTATACTTCTATTTGGTAGAAATAAGCTAGTAAAAATCATAATAGTTATAAAACAAAATTTCAGTGCCATCGCAATTGCTTTCTTTGAAACAAATCACAACCAATGACTTATCAAGATATACCAAAACCGTCATACAAATAAATTGTAAGCTTGGTGGAGTACCTTGGTCAGTGGCGGATGTCTATGATAAGGTATTATTAATTCAAAAATTATTATTTGTAAATTATGTATTATTGAACATGATTAATTCATTTAAATGCATTTTTCAGAACATTATGGTAGTCGGGTTGAATATCTACCGTGATTCGCTTAACAACCATAAATATTTTTGTGGAGTTATGGTTTCAATAAATGAACCTTTTACGAAATATGCCAGTTATGTTGACACTTTATATAAAGAGAACATTTCGGAATTTTATGTTTCAAGCATTGCTAGTATGTATTTTAAGTTTTATTATTTATTAAAAATCCAAGAAAATAAAAACTAGCGACATTTGTTTGAAAAGGATTATTTAGGTAATTTATTCACAATCAAGTATGTGTGTAATTGATTATTTATTTTTAAATTTATTTTTGGAGAATTCAATTAATGCTAGCTGTTTGTTTAATGATTGAGCATTATTTCTTTTGGATTGCTTATGCTATTTTCAATCTTTTCACCTTTCTCCAAAATAAGAATGTTTTGTCTCTAGCAACATCATCTTCAGTTAATTTATTTTTGTATTGTTTCATGTCAGGATAGTTTATGCAGTTAATCTTTTTTTTTTTAATTGCATTAATTATGATTGGTTGTAGCCATGAATTATTTCTTTTTTGATTTGCATAGTTTAATTAATAGTTGTAGAATGTAGATATTTGTATTGCGTTTTTTAGGGAAACTGTTAATAAATTTATGTTAAGATTTGAAATATTTTTACTTGTTATAATTTGGTTCCAGCTTTTATTTTTCATCAGTTCATTCAATTTGTTATAGTCAGGGCTCGTGACTTATACCTCTAAAACAAGTTGTTATTAGCGCAATGATATGCTCTTAAAAACATTCATATAAGCGCTTAAATATGCGCTAAAAATACTAAAATATGCTAAAAAAATAAGTATAAGAAAATGTATTAAATATGACAAAAATAAATTACTTTCTACATACCTAATTATTATTAATTTAGTTTAAAATTTAAAATTTTACATATTACAAGTCTTTTAAATTTTTGCAGTATGCAGTAAATTAAAAAAATTAAAACCTATAGTTTATTTAGCCTATTTAAATAAATATGATTTTTATATTTTTCCCTTGAAAATTACTTTTTATGATGAGATGTTTACTCAAGTTTTCAAATTTGAATGACTTTCGATCGTTTCTGAGTAAAGTCTTGTACATTGAAAATGATTGCTAGACATCTGCTGATATAATTGGTGCATACTTAAAGTAAACAAAATCATCCGTTAAATAGGTCTTCAGGTAATCCAGGTTCAAGTTCAGTGTTTCTTTGATGGCCCGATAACATATATGAAATATTTTTTTAAAGTTTGAGGCCAATACTCTTGTKGACGACGTTGTTAAATTTAGTTAAAATAGCTTTTTCAATTGACCCTTGAAGAGTTTGAAATGCTCTTTCTAAACTTTCAAATATATTTAGAGGATCAGCTAGAGGTAGTTCTTTTTTTTGTAGCTGGCTAATATTGAAAAATTTGATTTTATGTAAGCTAAGTCTCTTTCAATGCCATAAAATTTTGGGCCTCTTTAATACTAATAGCATCATCTGCGTCTAGTTTTTCAACATCTTATAAATAATTCCCAAATGTTCATAGTAATAGTTTGAGGCATTGATCCACGTACCCCAACGTGTAATTACTGGTTCAGGTGGTAAATTTAAATTAGGTGCTTCGTTTTTAAAAATTTTAACACAATTTGGAGCTTTTCGGAATGTTTTTTTTGACACTAGAAATTACTATGTAAACCGTACTGAATTTCCCTTTTACTTCCTCTGCTACTCTATGAAGACCTTGGGCAGTGCACGTAATATGGATCATTTTAGAATACAATGCTTTTAAAGAATTAGCAACTTTAACCATGTAGGTAGATTATTGATTATAATATTAAAACCATAAGGAATGTGTTTATAATGCCATTTGGGTATTATGTATTGAATATAGTTACTATGAACGTAATGTTTTAGTGTTGTTAATAAGCAGTTAATGTCCTAAATAAAATTATCAGCTCAGAATTTTTATAAATGATTTCTTTTATAAAAATAAATAATACCTCTGCTGCATTAATACTAGATTTTCTTTTTAATCCTCTRCAATAGGCAAAATATTTAGGGTTAAAATCTTAACCTATCCATTCTTTTGAAACGATTATAATATGACTTATATCATTTAGTGAGGCATTTAGAAATTCTAAATAATTTATGAGTTAGGTTAAACTTCTAATACTTGCGTGCAGTTTGTGAGACTATTATTATGTACTAATAATCTTTTGATTATTTCATTAACATGTTGTAATTGAGTTTTATCTGATTCTAAAATTACATACAGAATAAAGATAATTAATTGTAGTCATATTTTATTTAAAGGTTATATTTTAGTGAACAATTTAAAATTATTTTAAAATTATTTTACTTTACTAGATATACATTTATACTTGAATATGAATATTTAATAATAAATACACACAATTTTTGAGCTGTATTAATTTTAGTTTATACTTTAAAAACTAAAAAAAAAAAAATTTTAATTCAAAACTATTCACTTCATTATTTTATTAGGGGATGAGGTGGCCGAGCGGTCTAACGAGTCGGCTGTGACTCAGCCGGACCGGGTTCGATCCTCGACCACGGCATTTTTCTCCGGGCAAGTCACGGTGTCTGGAGAACAAGTCCTGCCATCCCCCCACTCCGGGGCATGGCAGAAACCTACGGGTGCCCCATTAGAAATTCTGCCAAACAGGCCTCCGGTGTAGGTTAGGTTAGTACACCGGACAATAGAGCCATACGAGTATTTTATTTTATTTTGTTACTTCATTATTTTGTTTAAAAGTGTGTTTAATTTTATAACATTCGGGCTGTAACTGATTTATTGTTAATAAATATATTGGGGATTATTTTGGTTTTTTTGTAACCAATAACTGCCTTTTACTTTAWATAAATAAAATATTTAGTGAATTCTTGGGTTTTTAGTGTTTTCAGCAGTTAACAATTTGAGCTAGTAACTGGTTTTAAGATCAATCTAAAAGAAATTTTTTAGAGACAATATATTACATTATTACCTATATTTCTTCTTCTACTTATTATTATTATTAGTTTTGTCAATTCATCAGATTATTCTGTCATAAATACTCTTGTATTTGTTTTGATGGTCATGACAATAATATTCATATTTAATTTTTATTTTTGAATTTTTTAAGTTTTTGAAGATTTGTAAGGTTAATATAGTATCTGTATTTTTTTCTAACTAAATATTATATAAAGTATATTTTATGTGGGAATTCAAACAAAATTATTGACATTATTTGTTTATTAGTTAACCAGAGAAATAAAATTAACATATGATATTCAATATTAATTTTTATAATTTATAATTAAGAATAGATTGTACTATAATAATTTAATTTGGTTTTTGAAAAAAATGGTAAAAAAACATTAAAGAAATATAATTAACAAGCTCGCTTATAATTAACAAAATCTTTACAACTTTTAAAGTTTTTTTTAATGAATTTTTTTTTATTTGGTGAATTGCCTTTTTCATCTTCAAATTTCACAATTTTTTTTAATCTCATATTTCCTTAAGATTTTTTTTTATTATACTTATTTGTGGTATGTATATCAAAAAGTAAACTTTAAAATAAACCTTTACAGTATTGCTTTGAAGTTTATTATAAAATATAATATAATTGTTTGACTATTTTCATTATTCATTTAGATGCTTTAAGTCTGTACAAAGACTTAAATCAAAAATTACCTAGAGGAATAATAATATATAGAGATGGTTTAGAATGGAACGGATCATCTGGAGAAGCTTGTATTTCTGAGATTAAATTAATGAAAGTTAGTAATATTTACATTTTCTTCTATGTATTTATTGTGTATAGGGTGTTATCCATAGACCTATCAACATAGATCTATGGAGTTATCTTATGTCCTTGTAAGTAAGGTGATTATATATAGATCAATAATATCCAGTTTTCCTAAGATCAAAAAAGACAATTTTTCAACTGAACATTTATTTTATCACGATTAAAAAATTTTGAAGCACTTAGTATTGTTGTATCAACAGCAAAATCAACTCTATTTTACCTTACCTGATAGGTACTAATATATCTTTATTTTAATACATTTTCATCTCTTTAGTTAAATACAGTCTAACAAAATATGGTTTTACCAATTGAAAAAATAAAGCTGTTTTTACTATTACATATTTTTACATCTGCATGTTTAAAATATTTGAAATGGTGATAAAAAAAAATACCAGTTAAAAAATAAAGAAATTACTTTTTCTTTTATGAAACTCAATATAATTGATCAATAATTCCTTACAATGCCATAAGATACAGCCTGCATAATGTGATTGTTATGAGGTCAATAAAATGATATTATATAATGGAGTTTTTACAGGCAAAATGTATCAAATTCTTCAGTAACGCTATAGTTCCTTTTGTGTATATTTTGATAAGAAAATCTGGGGAAACTAAATTTTTCAATCATCRTGATCCTTTCAATTATAGAAATCCACCACCCGGAACAATTGTTGATTCTGATGTCACTGAACAAAGCATGTGAGTAATGAATATGCATACATCTTATCTCATTTATTTGAGAATGGTTATTGATATAATATTTTATACAATTTTATAATACAGCGAAACTTCTATAAAGTGGACAGCCATGGGGAATTAAGAAATGTCCATTATAGGGAGTTGTCCACTATTGAGAAAACCTTAACACAATGGACTAAATTAGTAAATTTCCACTATAGAGAGACGCTATAAAGAATTAGTTATACATTTACATATAAATTATACATACATTGAATTTGGTACATATTTATTTGTTATTTATTATATACACCAGTGGTTCCCAACTTTTTTAGTTTAGCAGACAACCAATWATGTAAAAAAAAAACATTGAGGCCCACTTACCTAATATACAGGTATAAAATACAAACATACACAAATAAGATGATAAAAAAATATATATACGTATATAAAATCTTAGTAAAATCTCAGTGTTAATTCCAATTCAAATTTTCTTACCCTTGAAATCGACCAGTGTCCATGTCCTAATACCACATATCTGGTGGCCCATGACTGGGCTCCAGCCCATGGATTGGAAATCACTGATATACACAATATGTAASTWCTATGTATTTAAAGTTTGGTATAAAAATGTATAATGTTTATATGCCTACATTAAAAAAGATCTTTAATCTGTTTTGTGTAAATTTTTTCTGCTCTTTGCAATGATATGTATAATTTACATGTATCGTGTCTATTTATGAGAGGCAATTCTTAATTTTGATACTAGTTTTTAGTGTCCACGTCCACTATTAAGAGGTTATAACTCCTATTATGTGCATAAATTTTTGACAAGGAATTTAAAAGTGTTCACTATTGGGAAGGGTTCTCAATTTAGAGGTGTCCATTAATAGAAATTTCACTGTATAATAATTAATCACTTATCATCATCTAATGATAAATAGTTCATTAACTATTATAATAATTATGGGGACTGGAGTGTGGCATGTTTTAAGGAGTAATATTTAGGCATTTCATTTAGCATTCATATTTGATCTATGTTTTTGTGTGAAAACTGATGAGTAGGTGTATGTCAGTATGTTAAATTCTTATAATCAAGATTTGGGCACCGATAGTTCAATTTCCATTGTCCACATATAAATTGTACAGGCAAATGTATCACCTATTTACTAATAAAATTAGAAACAATTTTTTTTTATCAAAAAAATAGTATCAGTGACTTCAATTACCTTATTAAGTTTAAGTAAGTCCAAATTTAATTTTGAAAATAGATTTTAATTTTCCTCTAAATTTACTATGTTTTAATTATCATACATTTTTCATTTTTCTATATCAAGTTATTTAAATTTTAATTATGAATATGATCTATCTTTACTCTTTTTGTCAGTATATTTCTAAGAAAAATCAGAAAWAAAAATTGTCAATGCATGTATAATTTAGTATTGAATTCAAATCGAGACATTATGTTGGGTGTAGTGATTGTTGTTGTGAGCTATATTTCTGACCGATGATGTATCATGCTTCAGTCCCCTTAATAACTGTTTAGTCATTTTATTGTTGTACAATATGTACAAAACTATAATAGCATTTTTCTGTGGCAGGTATGACTTCTACTTGATTTCTCATTCAGTTAAATCTGGGACAGTGCTTCCAACTTATTATCGTGTACTGTTCAATTCTATTCCTAACCTAATGATAGATGAACTCCACATGTATACTTACTTGTTAACTCACATTTACTTCAAAAGTTCGGTATGTATATATTCATTATAAATAAACATAAAAATCAAATATTTTATTGTGTTTTAATTTTCTAGCATACCATACGAGTTCCTGCACCCTGTCAATATGCATATGATTTAGCATATTTTTGTGCAAATACACTTAATACTACTGAAAACATACTGTTGCACAGATATCCATTCTTTTTATAAATAATTGTTTAACCTGGGTATGTAATGTATTATCTTATTTATATGATAAGTGTCCAAATTATATGTCCATAAGTTTTAGTTCACCTATTTTTAGTACATTTATTGAAGTTCTTAAGATAATATGTTCACTTTATCAAGTTTGTTAATATTAGGAATTTCTATTTTATATTATACCCTGATAAATAAAGTTCAGTTTTTAATGTATACTAATTCAAAAATTAAATATTTTATTTGTATATTTATTTTTCTTAATATCCATTTCAATTAACATCACAATTCTTGGTCTTATATAAAATTAATCATTAAAAAAAAGCTGGCTAGTGGTTACCGATCTGCTGTACAGTAGACGTTGAAGATATTGTTGGAATGGATCAGTTAAATTAAAATTCAATGATAAATTATATCATTAGAAAARTRGTTCTGAGCGTAGACAGACTGCTTATGCCTTATACTATAAACAATTATATTAATTTATAATATACACTAAGACATACTGGTATAAATAATCAAATTTAATAATTAAAAATTTTTTTTTTAAATATCTCATAACTATAAATAATGAAACTTCTTGTGAACTTTTTTTTTTTTACATGTAGAAAAATTATTCAAGAATCTTCTATTAAAATGTCTAATATTAGCTATGAAAATAAATCTTTAATGAATTTCTAACTGAAAAATAACTTACGAAATGTTATAACATTCTGATTACTATAAATGGCTAATAAGAGTCAAAACAGTTTGAAAATTGTATTTTTATCTCATMTTCATCTATTTAGTTTTCCAAAACARCATTCAAGGACTAAAAACTATGTTGTATTAGGAGTTTGGACCGTGTGGTAATGAGTTATTCATGTGTTATCTTTATCGGTCTTAAAACATAAGGTCCATTGATTCCAAATATCATAATATGCATTAGCATCTGTATGTAGGGTAATGAGTATAAAATATTTCACAAAATGTTCACTTTGAAATATTTCAAACTTGAAACTTTCAGCTTTCTTGAAATATTGAAAAATATAATATTTTAATTTTATGTTTTTGGTATGTTTGACAAAATAATCACTAGATAGTCACACTTATTTCATAGCTGATTAGTGATTATCAGTTCATGATTATGATTTTCTTCGATGTTTATAAATTATAATGATAATTTATAATACTAATATAATATAACATTTTTATATTATTATATTCATAATATATTAATTTACAAATATAATATTATATTAGCCCTATAGCCTATAGGCTGTAAATTATAAATTATAATAAGGATTTAATAAATATAAAATTGTTATTTTACTTTAATTCAAATAGGAATATTTTATAAGGTTTTAACTCATAGATTATTATAATAGGGACTCTGGTTCAAGGCCGTAACTAGCAAACAATTTCGGGGGAGGGGGGTCTAACATTTTTTTTAATATAGATACTAAACACTTCATTTTTACGTTAAAAATATAAAATTTAATTATTATCATTATTAAAAACATAAGTCATTGTTATAATATTCAATTTACATAAACATAATAGTTGATTATTTATATACATATAAACTTATTCACATTACTTAAAAGCACATATTAAAAAAAGATAAAATAAAAAATAAAATTTTTTCAATATTAAATTTACAAAATAATTATTAATTTATAGTCTATAAGTATGTAATATGTTGACTATTTTATATTAGTAAAATAGCTCTATCTTTTTGAAGAGCAAATTTATTCAGGACGTCTTCGGGATCCACTTTAATATTTCTATATTACTATTTATAGTTAATAAACTATATTCACCACTAAAATGTTTATACTTTTAAAAATTTCTGGGGAGGGGTTCCGGACCCCTGGTCCCCCCCCAGTAACGGTCTTGCTCTGGTTATAACTAAATCTAATTAGTAATTATAAAATATTAAATAAACATTTGTGTCTTGTAAATTTTTTAGTTATGTTTATATAAATTTTGTGTAATTCGTAGATTTAAATTTAAATTATTTTATACTATTTTTCATAAAAATGAAATATTTCAAAAAAATTAATTTCACGAAATGCTATAATAACTCAATTTGTATGTCATCTAATCTCATTGTACATTATTTGAAAGAGAGTAGATAATTAGATAACACCTCTGTTAACGTCTTATAATATTTTACCTATCTATATAATCATATTTCTAAAGAAGTGTAAAACAAAAACAGCTGCCGAAAACATCATCTCCTATACTTATAGTAATCTATGATACACAGAATCCTTAATGTTAAGAAAGAAAACTTACTACATTTTAAGAGACTGGACTTGAGTCTTTTTAATATGGGTTAATATTTAGGCAATTTGTAATTTCGTTGCCGCTATCTATGGCATTTGTGTTAGTGGTTAGTTGTCAATGATGATTGTATACAGGCGGACTTAGACATATTATTATTATCCTATCTAAATAGTAATTGGCACAGCGTTGCGGCGACTCAACAACAATCAAAAATACTACACGTCTACACATCCGCGATAATATGTTACATTTTTTGCCTTTGCAGTTCACCCATTACATCACTGTAATGAATAATAACGTTAACAATAATTTAGCAAAAAATCTATGACTTATAATTTTAAATAACATTTTATCAATTCATCTATTAGGTGGCTGGAGCATGATTAATTTCCGGTCAGAAATATAGCTCACTAGGTACTTCAATCACTACGCCCAATATAATGTTACGATTTTAATTTTGAACATAGATTGAATTCATCTATGCTTTAACTTATTTTTCTCGTTTTCTTTTTTGTTTTTACTTAGAAATTCACTAACAAAAAGAGTAAAACTGTATAATTTTCTTAATTCAAATTTAAGTCATTAATATGGAATATGAAAAAAGTAATATACTTAAAAGTGTTAAAGCATAGTAAAATTTGAGGAAAATTAAAATCGTAACATCCTTCTGAGTATGGTAATCGAAGTCAATGGCATTATTTTTTGATAAGAAAAATGTTTCTAATTTTATAKGAAAGTATATAGGTGTTTAACATTTGCCTGTGCAATTTATGTGGGGGTGTTGAGCCATCTCTGCAATATACTCGGTTATACGAATTAAACATTAAACTTAATTTTCAGTTTTCACACAAAAACAAATCAAATATGAATGCTAAATGAAATGCCTAAATATTACTCCTTAATATAATTCAGTGGTGCTCAACCCACGGCCTGTGAAGCTATTCTGTGTGGCCCGTTACAAATTTTTAAATCAAACAATATATTCTAAAAAAAGTAAAGTTATATTTATTTATTTTAAAATAGTAATGATAATTGATAATAATAAAAAAAAAATACATATATTTGGTGCCCCGCTTGAAGATATGGTTGCTCAACAAAGTGGCACGCTAAACAAAAAATCATGGCATCACTGATATAATTCATGATTTAGCCAAGTTAAAGGCCTCTATTCGAATATCATAGCTCAATATTTTTTGATAAGTATTTGATTTTAATAAAATGTTATCGAAATAATCATATAGACAAAATGCATTCAAATAACTTCCTACTCTGGTTACAACAAATTATATACCAGTTAATGTAATATATAATGCAGTATTCGAAATATTGACAAATTTATAAGATCACAAATTAATTTTACAGTATAACAAATTAAAATTGTATTACTAAAAAATTTTCTAATTCCTATTCTCTATGTACCCATTGTAWAACATATTCAGATCTTAACTTTAGAAGTTATTTTGTTTTATTTCAAATCTAATCAGAACCTATCATTAATTAGCTACTGCCTACTACTAAACTATATTGTTGATGAAAATGGGTTAAGCCCTAGGAATATAATACCACTAATTTAACACATAATATAATATCTTAATCTTATAATTTATTAATTAATTGTTATACCTAAATACAAAATATTATATATTAAGTATAATCATACAAATAATAAATATGAATAAAACAAATATAATTTTTTTTCAAATTATTTTTAAATAATACTTATAAATTTGTATTATAAACTATCTATATGATTAAAAATATAGGACTTATTGAAAGAAAGTGATTAAATCACATTATATAAGATTTTATTAATTATTATATTTAATACTAGGTATAAAAAACTAAAGAAACCAATTCTACATTAGAACTGATATACATACAATTATACAAATATTCACTACGCATTAAAAATAAATAATATTTGACAAAGAAACTTACAAATATGAAAAAACCAATCAAAGTTTA